AAACTTTTGTTCTTTTGAAAGGTCCCATTAAAAACATGAAAAAGCAGGTTCCAGGTGAGAAACAATGTTTGCAAATCACATATCTGAGCTAGTATTTAGAATATATAAAGAACTCTCAAAACTCAATAGTAAAATAATAAACAATCCAATTCAAATCTGAACAAAAGACATGAAGAGATATTTCGCTGAAGAAGATAGATGGCAAATAAGCATATCAAAAGGCGTTCAACATCATTAGCCAGTAGGCAAATGCAAATTAAAACCACAATGATACATCACTACCCAGCTATAAGAAGAGCTAAAAACGATAGTGATAACACCAAAAACTGGTGAGGATGCAGAGAAACTGTGTCATTCATACATCGCTGGTGAGAATGCAAAATGGTATGGCCACTCCAAAAAAACAGCTTGGCAGTTCTTAAAAAGCTAAACCTGCAGCTACCACACAACTCAGAAATCCATTTCCGGGCATTTATTCTACAGAAATGAAGACTTGTGTTCAAACCAAAAAATTGTACATGAATGTTCATAGCAGTTTTGTTCAAGTAACATAAAGGCTAAAAACAACTCAGATGTCCTTCAACAAGTGAATGGCTAAACAAATGGTGGCATATCCACAGTGTGTACTCATCAATAAGAGGGATGAGTGTGTACTCATCACACAGTGTGTACTCATCATAGTGTGCACTCATCAATAAAAAGGAACAAACTGCTGATACATGGAACAACCTAGATAAATCTCCAGATTACAATGAGAGAAAAAATTCATCAAGATTACATATCATGTGATTCCATTTATATAACATTCTTGGGTATAAAATTATAGAAATGCATAAAATTATTTCTATAAAATTATAAAACTGTTATCAAATTACAGAAATGATAGAATTATAGAAATGTAGAAGAGATTAGCGGTTGTCAGGATTAAAAAGGGAATTGAGGAAGAAGGAAAATGACTATAAAAGAGTAGCATGGGGGTCCTTATGGTCATGGAAATGTTCTGTATTTTGACAGTATCAATTTTTGTGATATCCTGGTTGTGATATTGGACTACAGTTTTACAAGATGTCACCAGAGGGAAAACAGGGTAAAAGGTATCCAGGATCTCTCCAAATTATTTGGTGTAACTGCTATGGTTTGAATATCTCCTCCAATTCATGCTGAAATGTAATTGTCATTGGGATGATATTAAGATGTGGGACTATTAAAAGGTGATCATGAGGGCTTTGTTCTCATAAATAGATTTATGCTGTTATCTCAGGAATAGGCTAGTAATCTCAAGAGTTCTGCTCCCATTTTCTCTCTGTCTCTTGCACTCCCTCGCCATGTGGTGCCTTCTAGCCAGATTCTTGTGCCATGCTTCTGGAATTCCAGCATCTAGAATCAGAAGCCAAATAAATTTCCATTTTTATAAATTCCCAGTCTGTGGCATTTTGCTGTAGCAGCAGAAAACAGACGAAGACAACTGTCTGTAAACCTACTATTGTCTCAAAACACGAAGTTTAATTTTAAAAGTTATGTTAACACGTGTAAAGAATAAAACAGAATGAGCATGAAATTGACTTGCAAATTCTAAAATATAAAATATAAGGAACAACTTTTATAACAATATATTTCATATATGCTATAGTCTGCATGTTTGTGTTCCCACAAAATTCATATGCTAAAACCTAATCCCCAGTGTGGTAGTATTAAATGGCAGAGTCTTTGTGCAGGTAATTAAGTCATGAAGGCAGAGCCCTCATGAATAAGATTAGTGCCCTTATAAAAGATTCTCAAGGGAGCTTGCTTGTCCCTTCTGACATATGAGGATACACAGAAGGCATCATATGAGGAACAGGCATTCACTAGACTGGCCCCTTGATCTTAGACTCCCCAGCCTCTAGAACTGTAAGAAACAAGTTTCTGTTACTTACAAATTACCCAGTCTAAGGTATTTTGCCATAACAGCCTGAACAGACTAAGACAACCCAGTGTTACAAGCTAATATGCATTTGTATGTTGTTTATACATATTTAGGAAGAGTTTGAGTAAATGTATGTATCTGTAAATGATGATGGGTCTTTACAACAATTAGGATTGCTCAAGATCCATCTCTAGCCCTAATGACTGATAGAGTACAGAACAATCCTAAATACAGCAGAAATTAAAGTCTAGAAAAATCACTATTTTGACTCTGTCTAGCTAATCTTTCTTTTTTCTTTGGTGCCTCAATGACCAATATCAAGAGTTCCACAGGTCAAAAGGTAGCCACATTTCCCTGTTGCCTAAAAGAACTGCTGGATGGAGTTTTGGATCTTCTGGAAATGCAGTCTCTCATTCAGGCCACTAAGAGGTCATTTTTTTATTCCCAGAGTCACAGGACACTTAGTCAAAAATCACCTCAAAGAACAGCCTTTTTTCCTTCTTTTCCTTTTCAAATGAGAAAACTAAGACCCTCAGAAGTCCTACTACTTGCCTAGACCTTTGATTCCTATCATATAACAAGTAAAATCTCTTTCATAAGAAAAATTAGTGAAGTTACCTAATTTGGCACCTTTTAGTAGAACCATATGCAGTGAATGCAAACATTTCACAGAATTGGGTTATCCTTTTATTTCAGGAGAGTTAACAAAGTGATCTATCTAACATGTACTGTCTACCATACCATGGTCAGGACATTCTGCAAAATGGCACAGCTAGCTGTTCCCTAGAATACCACTTCAAAAGATGAGAAATCATTTCTGTTCATCCTTAGCTCTTCTAAATTTAAAACATTTGCCATCTTTAATTTTGCAAGATGTTTAGACAATAATACTTCAGAGAGAGTCAACTCCAACAATCTGAATGGCTCCAAATACCCTCCAAAATCCTATTGAAACCAGATCCTCTTCCTTACACCACTCTCATCCACAAGCTTCTTAGGGACTTTGTCCAATGTCCAGGTACCATAAACATAACCCCAAATTTTTCAGAAAGCACTGGCAACAAGTCTTGGACTTTAGTATCTAGCCTAAAGCAGGCATCAGGACCTTACTACTATACTCCTCCACCTCACAGTTAGCTTGAAGTCTACTAGAACCATGGCTTTTGCCTCTGGTCTTGTTAACTTCCTGTCTCCACATCTCATGATTTTTATTTGACAGAGGAATCATTATCAGTTCATACTATCACTGAAGGCCTTTCCTGTTCAATGCCCAGTTGGACCATCTGGCTATATTTTCTTACCCCAGAGAAAAGCAGTGTTGCTGGTTGGTTAAAGTTCCAATCCAAGAGATAGGGTCTATTCCCAACTTAATAACTACACTTTTTTTCCCAACTCTGAGATGCTTACGCCTCAGCAGCAGCCAGGAGGTCATCCTGATAGAGATGGAGATGTCCAGCATGTTCCCGGAAGTGCTGCCAGCTGATTTCTCTGCCTCTTTCTACTCCTCCAGCTCAGGGGGCCCTTGCTAACATAGAATGGATGTGCTGTTACTTGACGACGTACATTCGAAACCAAGCTGAGATCAAGTAAGAATATGCTACGCTCAGTGCAACAAGTAACAGTCCCGCCCATAAGGGGAATTTCTATCCCAATCTATAACTGGCTGTATTTAATACAAGGCTGTTAGTGTTTGGAGTCCACCAGAAGCAGATTCTGAGACAATAATTTAAATAGAAGTAGTTTGTTTTGGAAGTAATTCCAGGAAACACTGATAGGAGAGTGGGAAAATGAGACAGGGAAGAAAAGGAAGTTAATAAAGTACACTATCAAGTCTATTATCACTGTGGGCAATGAGGGCTCAGTCCCATTAGGGAACTTCAGGAGACAGTGCAGAACAACTTTATAGCTATCCAAACTGAGAGGCAAAGAAGCTGGGGGCATTTGTCCAAAAACTCTCCATCGGTTCTTGGTTAAAAGTTGCTTCTAGGTTCACTAACCCTTCAGCACTTCCAGCTTGCCCTGCATGCAGACTTGGCATGCTCCCTGGCCAGAAAAATGTTGCAAAGCTCTCAGGCAGGGTCACCCTTGTTCACCTGTGAATACCAAGGGAAAAGAGTGGGCCCAAGAGGGTCTGCTACACAGTACGACTTGTTCTAGTCTATTAATTGGCTTATGAGAGTCACATTCAAATGTCAGGTCTCTTAACAGGTAACGAACTTTGACACACCAAAGTCTCTACTTGCCATAGACAAAAAAAATGCACTTATTTCATGATACTTATCTTCAAAATATTCTCAAAAATAGAACACACTGAAAGGGGAGTGCATTTTCTTATCAGAAATGGAAAAAGGAACCTAAGTGTTTTGCCTTGGTGGTGGTCAAGGTATCGAGGGGCTGTTTATACAAACATGAACTTCAACTTTTTAAGCAACCAATAATTGACTCACCTCCTTCACAAGCCCCCACAGTTTTCCTAATTCACTACTGAAGACCTCACATTTAGAGGGGAAAAAAACCAGAACAAGCTAGAAAAGTTCTGAAGAATGAACTATGGATATTTATTTGTCATCACAGAAAGTGGCAAAATTCTGAAAGGAAAGATATGTTTGTGCTTCATGGTAAATTGCCCCCAGAAACTGCCATAACGGCTTCTTACATTTTCTTCTTGTAAAGTCAGGGGTCTTGAGTTTTAAATAAGTTTTTAATCAGATCCATATTTTATTACCACAAGGAAGAATGCCTAGATTTATTGAGCCAAAAATGTTCATTAAACAATCACTTCATTGAGCACGTTTTATGGTGTTTACACTGGAGATACAAAGATGAATAAGGCGATACCTACATAGAAGGCCATAATCTTTATTTTATTCATAGTAACCATGCCCCATAGGTAATTTTTCTATAAAGAGTGAAGAAGGGAAATGAGAGGCCAGACTGAGGAAAGTCTTTCCAAGTATTTTGGGCAGAGCAGAGAAGGCAGATGTTCTAGTGAAAAAATGTATTGCAGGCAAGAGAAAAGCCAAAAGCAAATTTAGGAGAAAATAGGGTGTAACCACATAAAATAATATTATATATAATGACATGTTAGACTCACTGGATCTGGAGCCACAGGAAGGAGCTATCTGACCAGATGGGCAAGTGCACATATTTGGCCTCGAACAAAATCCATCCCCACAGGAATGCCGGCAAATGGCTGTGAATAAAACCAGAGGTCTGTTAGCACATGGATTCAAAGCATGGTTATTTATCAGGAACTAATCTTTAAATAGTAGTTATCTAGGCTCTCAGGCCCCTCACTAACTTTGCCATCATGACTTACATGACCTTAAGTCTCAGATAAACTCATTTACAAAGCAAGTCTATTGGACTAAATAAACTCTGGCTTTAAAATCGGTATTTGCCTTAACTAATAATAGTGGTTCTCAACCTCTCTTTGCTTAGTCCACAGCATGCAATCCATTAAAAGCCCAAGTCAGGCTATGAAGGGGAAATAAAACAAACAAAAACCATGCATTTAAACATACATATATACATATAATAAGAATTCCATTGTATATGAACTTTAAGATTGAGTGATATAATATTGCAGCAGTATTCCTGGGAGCCAATTTTATTGTCAACATTTAATGTTTAATTTTTGTCCTGTTCAGAATGACATCAACAATCTGAGAGTAGAATGCCGGAATCTACTGTCAGCATACTGACTCTATAGTCAGGAAGTCATTCATCCTTCAGAGAAATATTAACATTTTCATGCCACCCAGAGGGCAATATCATACTAGTACTAAATGCTCTGCTAGTGGCCAAAAGAGTAAGTTTAAATGTCAAATGATTTATATTTATTAGCAGACTAGGATTTGCACACTACTTTTTATAACCATAGGCATGATGCTTTCCTCAAACTCCTACAGAACCTTGCAATACAAATTCAATATGCAAGGCCAAAAGAATACACTGAGTATAAAGTGCATTTAAATATCCAAACAGCTCAGGATGGAGATTGGGAACCACTGTGACATAAGCTGTCAAAATCTGATAAACAGTTATTTTAATACCTGAAGACAGCACTTTTCAGAGAATTCTACAGAATACTGGGAAAGGATTCTGTTGTCAAGTTCATTACAAAAACACTAAATAACATCATATCTTCCTTTTGGTGATTCAATTTTGGTCTTAAAATAAACAACACTATGCCAAGTGAATCAGATGCTTTTTAGGCACAATAAAGAATCGAGACAGGGATAATAAACTTTTTCAGGTCACCAAGTGAATGTTCTATTTTTCTCCACAGATACTCTTGGCTAAGTGAGATGGTGAACTAAGTGATTCCTGAAGGTCCTTTCAGCTCTGAATTTCCCCATTGTACTAGTGGAGTTTTCTGTGGGGTATTGTGAAATCCGGAGGTTTGTCATAGGAGCAGAAATCAATAGAGGAACCTCTGTTATCATCTGAGTTCTCTCCTAGTCTTCCTGCTGATCTTCAACTGATGCTCTATCTCCTTTGTTTCCCCTTTGTCTGAGAGTTAGGCCTGCTTTTGGCCTCAACCACTCAAATTCAAAGTACAGGGATTGGGTATGTATATGAGTGACCAACAAAGTTAGAAATTACAATAAGGAAATCATCAATGACACCCTTGTTTTCAAACTCCCATCAAAGTGATTCCAAGAGCAACATATATAAATGACACACAACCTTGATCAAAGTACCCATGTGGCTCTATTCCCTATCTCAGAAACATGCTAAAAGAAGCACTGAATTTTAAAGTATGGTCAGGTTTGACCAAGTGAATGTATTTCCCAAACTGGATTTAGAGAAAATAGGAAAATCTTAAGAGCTGGAATGCTCTGCTAGAAACATATTGATGGTGCAGTTACAGAGGACCAAATTCTAAGGATCACCATGCAACCAAAACAACAAAAGAATAACATGCAGAATGACAGATTGTCTATTTACTTACGGACAATACACTGATTTCCACCAGGTAAGGTTTTCCATCCAGGGCAACAGTAAGCATTATAACGTGATCCACAGACATTTGGTCTGAAACAAAAACATAAGAATTCCATATTTTTCTTAAAAAAGAAGAGATGACCATACAAAAGAAACAATCCCTGAGTTATAAAAGCAGAATGAATCCTGACAGATGGAGAAAAGCAAACTCATGGAACTCAATGCTGGCTTAGTAGTTTGGGACATTTTGGCATAATGATAAATATAGCAACATCCCTTAATATCACCTATGTACACAATACATCAGGAAAATAAAAACCAGATGCAAAATGCAGCTCATTCTATCACAATTCATAGAGCTATACAAGATCAACTTAATAAATTTCTTACTAATCTGGTTAAGAAAGTTTGTAATAGTCAATTGTATGTAAGGTTTTAGATTTCTATGCTTTGAAGCTGTATATATACTTTTCTATGGCCCACTTCACCTCTAAAATGTCACACATTCTTCCTTTCACCAAAATTACAGGAATTCAAACTCTGACATGACTCAGAAAAAATAAAGGCCAAAACATGTAAATATTTATTTAGCAAAAGTTTGGAAACACTGCTGATACCAGTAGTTACTAGAAAATAAAAGCAGTGTCACTCTGAGTTTCTTGGTTACAGACAGTTCGCCACACTATCTTGGAGCAAATTCTCCATTCAGAATCTAGATGATCCATATTAACAATTTCAGGGAACTACTGGGTAAGAATCTGGCAACATCTACACTGAAAACTAAGGCAGTGGATAGAATACACTAAGACCCAGAAGAAACAATTCGTTTTACTTTGCCATATCTGGAAAGGCTAAACACTGACGCTAGTTGCTAGAGTTCAGAGGCCAATAAGGAAGATCAGATGGTTTGCAAACCAATTTCACAAACTAGGAGTCATTCCGAGGCTTGCTGGTATAAACACCATAATCCCAAAAGCATAAGGCTTAAAAAAAATTGCATAGCTAAGGAGTTTTTAGTTGGGGTGCATTCACACATTTGCCTAGTATACGCAGACTATATATAACAGCACAGAACACTCCTGTATTACCTCTGAATTCTCAACCTTACGCAGGATTGGGAACCCAGATAAGGAAGGTCTCCTCGTCCTTTACTCCTTTTGTAGCCCCAGAAAATCTGGAACACTTTGCAAGGCACAATGCATACTTCAGACTGATGCTGAGGTCAGGAAGAGAATTAGGAAGAAAGATGTAGGAGCCAGGGAAAGGGTTCAAACTCCATACCCCAAAGTCTATGGCTTCTCTAAGACTAGAGAGAAAATGGTTGGATGAAGGTTTAATATGGGCACAATTTTAGGGCCTGCCTGACCTCAGTTTATTTCTGTACACACGGATAACGAAATGTCTGCCTTGTGTACATCATGTGTGTGTATTTACATCAGATGAATAACGCACATGAAAATCTTCACATATAAAAAGGACAGTGAAAATACAATGCAGCATTATCATTTTCTGACCTAGATTAACTACTCAGTCAAAGGAACCATATAGGGAATTAAGAAAGAGAGAAAGATTTTATGGAGAATTCTAAATCAATGGCTCTCAATCCTTTGCCTCTCCTGCAACAAAGTAATGTCTGAAACTTGAGTATCCAGAACTTCATGGGGAAGCTCGGAATCTTGGACAGGGATGTAAGAGGGAAGATAGGACAGAGGCCTGAGGTAAAGGAGAATGCTCAAACCTTCCAAACTTTATAAAAGTTCTTCAACTTAAAATGAAGATCCAGACCAAAGTCAACCACCTCGAACCTTCCCCACCAACAGCCCATTACAACCACCCCCACTAGAGTCAATCCAGCCCCAAACAATCCTGGAGTAGCTTCAGAGCACCCCTGAGCCCTTCCTTGAAGGATGCCCTGTGGGTTGAGTAACAACGTTTGTTAAACAAAAAATCAGGACATACTGTCTGACAAAAATGAGTGTATTTATGGAGTAAAAGCACATACAACAGGATAAAAAAGCTAAGAAAAAAGGGCCCAGAATCAGTCATGTCAGTCCTACAAAGCAAGATATTCAAATGATTTTCCAAATTATTTGAAAACTCATAGGAATATAAACATTATTTATTGTCTTTTAATGTTTAGAATCAACCTATAGCCAAAACATAGATTTTACAATTCACCATGGTTACAAAACAAAATGTAAATGTTTTAAACCTTCATAGTACAAAAGTAATGGTATAGATGGCATAAACAAGTTGGGAGGAAAAGTACGGAGGGCAGAAAAGCAGTTGACCCAAGAAACAGAGGTTTAGATACATTACATACTATTTTAAAAATAAAGAATAAATAAAAGTCATATTACAGTAAGTGAGGCAAGTCCCCATCTTTCATACCAAGGAGTCAGTGGGTACTGCTTAAATCTAGACATGGAGGTACAAGCATAGTAGGTGATGCTATGGAGATAAGGACGAGAAGAACAAAAGCCAGAAAAGTTTAAAACTAGTTGCTTAAAAGATGAGAAGCTGTCGAAGCAGAGGAAGAGTTGTTTTGCTTTCTCATTTAATGTTCATCCACAACTGTTCATTTTTAAAATATGCACCCTTCAAGGGTGAGATCAGCAGATACTGGACACTGCTAGGGGAGGGAGAGAAAGAAGATGGAGGGTGGCACATGGCAACACAATGGGTCCGTGGTTCACTACCAAAGGGAGAGACGGCCAGCTAGAATACCAAACTTCATCTACATGTAGCCTACTTATGTAGCAAATCCTCATTTGTACTTCACAGCTCTAAAATTAAAAAATAAATTAAATATGTGTTCTTTTTTTGTTCAACCTCTTTTGTTTAAAGCAACAACTTGCCTTTTAAAGTATAAATATCTTATCTTCTAAACAGGATATCTTCTGTTTCATTCAAATGTTTCATTCATGCAGTTTCCTTTCATTAGTGTATCACATTTTCATCTCATTGCATTCCTTAAAATTCTATATAATTTTGGACTGTGATTTATTTTGCTTATATCCTCTGACCTTTTCTGAGTTTTAAACTATCATTTACAAGTAATACTTAATTTCAGATATTTCAACCAACATCCTCAAATGACAGTGATTGTTTTAATATCATTGCCATTTGTCCTTAAATCACTCTAAATACTACTATGTTATGTGGCTCAATGCAAAGTATATAAAGATGTAAGATTTCTCCTTTGCCAATTTTGGTCTTGAGAACTGCAAACTCACACAAGCAAGCTGTGTGGCATTTCTTCTACTTATACACAGGAAAAGCAGTTCTAATTCTAGAAATAAATGAGTGTCTTATTTAAGTTGGAAAGCACTAAAACATGTAAAGTCTAAAGGAGACATGCTGGATTATTTCCATTATAAAAGATTTTTTTCTAAGGTTTCAGTATAAAAAGCATGTATGAAGAAAATAAAACTTTAATGAAGTTACTCTTTTGTGTTAATGAAAGTAGAGCATCCATACCTCTTTCTCTTTCTTTTCGCTTTATCAGCCATTCCCACCTCTCACACACACACACACACACACACACACACACACACACACACACAACCAGAATTAAAGCTATATGCAGGTGGCATTAGCAGTCAACAAATTAAAGTAAATTAAAATTCAAAGAGAAATGAATTTTCTGCTAAAGAAGCATTTTTTTATTTCGTTATCATAGCAACTCTTTGAAGTCAATTCTATTATTATTATCCTTAATACTAAGGAAACTATGGCTTAGGAAGGTTAAACAACATAGTCTTGCTTGAAAGTAGGTAATGAGGATCTGAACTCAGGAAGCTCTAGACTACACTCTTTCAACCCTATGTTAAGTCAAAGATGTATTTAGAGGACAAGATGGTATTTCACCCCATAGCATCCATGGTGACATGAGTAACAAAAATCACAAAATGTTCGTCAACAGACCAAAGATAAATTTCTTTTATCTGCATTCCAATAGTTCATAGGGAGAAGGGGAAAATATATTCTACTTCACCCCTGCATGTGACATTTTTTAAACAGCTAAATTTTTGTCTGCAATCTCTCTTACCATTTTTTTGTTTGTTTGTTTGTATTCTGCAACCACACAACTCCAATCACCCTGGGGGATGGGTAAGTCTTTAAGTCTTTGCAAACTTGGTATCTGGATCCAGTCAGACACAGTACTGAGAGATGGTATGGGCTAGCTAGAGCCTCTCTCAATGGAGCAAACAGCTGGGCTCTACCATGTCTGACCACATCATTGCAAGAATTGGCTTCTGTGCAAGATGTCTGCAGTGTGTCCACATTCCTTAGCCAGAACCCACTTCTGCAAGTTTGGCCTCTCTCACAGCAGGATAGTCTTTCTGCTTCCTACTCCAAGTGAAAACTCCTTTTCATGCAATGCTGGGTAATAGAAACAAGTTCAGGAGGCTCTTCATTCATATATGTTAATTTCTCAGCTTGTGAAATGATTAAATTCTTCAGCAGGGAGAATATTAGGCATTAGGTAAGGGCTAATGAGGTTGATCCTGCTTCATGAGTTGCCTGTTTTTTTTACCTTAGGAGAAAATATGATTTAGCCTCTTGAGTATAAATGTGGAGGGGTATCAAAAGGTATAAGCCCTCATACAACAAAGGATGTCCAACTGTCCATGTAACATGTCCAGAGGTAATATCTTATAATATCCTACTGTTACAGAATTAAAATATTTTTCACTGTAAAAAATGAGACAGATCATGAAACAATTATAACACACAAATAAGGAATACATCATGATTTTATGTGTTCCTTGATAAAGTTCTATCAAGATAAAAAGGAAAAAATCATGAGTAACATTTAACAAAGAGACCCCCTACTCCAGTAAACTTTGCAAATGCCCCTTTCTTATTTTAGTGCCTTTATTCTGGCCCTCTTCACTGAAGGCAGAGGTCAAGTCTCTCAGTCATGATCTGAATACCACATGTGACTATTCCAGCCCAACTGCCAGTCACAACAACTCAACTGGAGGAATGAAACCTCAAACACTAGTAATGAGAATGACTTCTGTGGCCTCTTCAAGCTTCAGCTGGGGTCTTTAGACTTATTTCTGAATTGTTGGGTCAACACT